TAGATGGAAGAAGCAGCGCTGGAGTAGCAGGATCCCCTCCGATCCCTGATCAGCCAGACCACAGGAAGAAGTGGGAGGGACCCCATCAGCCTCCCAGGCCACCCGGGGAGGCTTCCAGCCTCCTGTTTGGGCTCCCCGCTCTCCATGATTGCTCTACAGGGGATTGTCTGTCATGAATGGCTTGGGGGTTAAACCCCCAGACTGCAGGCCTAATCAGACCTGGTGAGGCCCCACCCAAGGGTCTCTCCCATGCCCTTCTGGTGGGCCATATCCCACGCACCTCTCTGGAAGGGAGGGGTCCTTGATGGGATCCCCGGCCACATGGAGATGGCAGGAAATGGGCAACTCATCCAGCATGGGACAGAGCCCCTCTCCCCTGTGCCAGCCAGCCAAGCCTCTGCACACTCCACCTCACGTAGACCCTCTGGGCAGCTCCCTGGAAGGGCATCCATTGTTCTGCCCAGGCCTTCCTCTACTAGGGAAAGCGCAGAGGAAGCAAAGTCAAGCCTGTTGAGTTCCCACAGCTCCTCTGCTGGAGGGTCAATTGGGACTGGGTCAACTCAGCTCAGCTTCACCAGTCCCATTTCCTTCCCCAATGGGGGAAGGCCCAGGGCAAGCAAAGAGGCCCTGGCTGAGCTGCCTCCATTGTCTGTAGGTCCTTCCTAGCCCGAGGAAACCCCTCGCCATAAAGCCAGGCTATGCCCCCGAGACGCATCACTGGGTGACTTTGGGCCGACCTACCTCAAAGGGTTGTAGTGAGGATAAAATGAAGAGGAGGGGAACCATGTAAGTTTCCTTGGCCCTTTGCAAAGAGGAAACGGGGCAGGATTGAAATGAGGATGAAGGAGAGAAAGAGAGAGGATTGAAAATGCCTGACTTAGCAACAAGCCTTCCTCAGCACAGTTTCATGCCACAGTTTTCCACACTTCCAAGATGCCAGCACATATTTCTACAGAAGAGCAATGCTCTGTTTGGGCCTCTCTGCCTAACATGCTTGTCTTCACTTGCTTCTAATAACAAAGATGACAACAGATGAAAGATTATCACTGTTTTGCTACCTCAAGACACACTTTCTTCTCTAGAAACAGGTTGCAACATAACACGGAAGGAAGGCTGGTTAAGCAATCTCTGGTGGGAATCCTTTCCTTTCCTTTCCTTTCCTTTCCTTTCCTTTCCTTTCCTTTCCTTTCTGTTTGGCTCCTCCCTTGCCAAAGAAAATGCACAGGGACTTTCACGATTCCAGACAGCTGAGCCAAGCACACGGTCCGCACCACTCAGCCAGGACTCAGTGACTAGCGTCCTTTTGTGGCAAAAGCTGTGCTGCTCTTCCTGAAGCTCAGATACTCTGCTGACTTCCGTCGGTATTTTCCAGTATTACACGGGAGAGTGGCCCGCATTTCCCTCTTGCTGGAGGGGAAGCCTGCTGAGACTTTGGAGGTATGTAGTTCTGCTTAACATCAAGCTAAGTATATTTGTGTTGGCAAAGGTGTAATTTAACTTCTTGAAGTCTTCATAGGCAGGAAAATGTGCAGGTTCTTGCAGCCAAAATGCCAAATTAAAAGTTATATGTACATGTACATGTGAATTCATCTATACTCCTTCAGTGCCAATTGCTTATTCTCTGCACAGTTTCTTCTTGAAGCATAGAGTGAAACCTTTAACTTCTTCCTTTCAAATGGCAATTGGAATGTACAAGCTTGAATGCTGAAATGGGCCAAGTATACCCAGAGACTGCTTTTTGGAGCTGATCTAAAGAGATGTATCACGACATGGCTCTGTCTAAGATTGTTCTTGCTTTCTTCACTGGGTTATGAGGGAATGGGCCAATGCATGCCACTGGTCTAGCATTAACTGTCCATTCCGATGTGGAAGGCAGACAAGTGAAGCGCGGACTCACATGTTGGGGCTCTTCGTCCCAACTCCTTTGCAGAAGAGTACCTGGAGAGAAAGCGTAGCCATCAGAGCGCTGGCCTGGGACAGAGATCCAGCCTCTAATCCTCACCTGGCCAGGAAGCTCACCAGGTGACTTTCAGCTACTGATGTGTAGCCTATTCTACCTCACAGGGTTGTTCCTCTGAGATCAAGGCAGACAGGAGAAGAACCTTGTAAATCGCTGTGAGTTGCCTGAAGGAAGAGGGAGGGTATGAATGCAATGTGGCAGTGATCTTTACAGTAAGCACGACAGCATATCTGGGAATGTTAACCTTCCTCTCTCAGGATGCCTGAGCCCCTATTCAGTCGCTTCACTAAATATATTTTGATGGCTGATGAGGGTCCACTTTTTTGCTGAGTGGATGGTGGGTTAACACTTTCAGGGAGAGTGTGGTTGAATATCTTAGTATTTCCAAATACTTGGAATACACAAAGAACCTGGAGAAACTGATTTCCCTCCACCTAGGCAAAGTGGCCAGAGAGATCAGAAACAGCAGTTGGATTGTTTCTAGAAAAAGATAAAGGAAAGAGAGAGTTTTCAGCTGGGTAGTGGTAAAACATCAGGCTGTTGCAAGAGATGGGAAGATATTTGCTTTCATTTCCACTGGAATTCCACAGTCTCCCCACCAGAACCTTGTGCAGTGACTTAGGCAGGCAGGTGCAAGCTATGAAATAAGGAGCTTCTGAACACTTTCTTAGGCCAAAAGCCGAGCTCACAAGCCCTTTTGCACACAAATCCGCTCCTGTTTTTCACCAGCTGTTCTTTTCAGAAAATTAATTTAAGGGAGGGAAACTGTTCAGTTGCTGCTTTTGTTAGAAAAATGAGTCAGAAATGTTTGCGGGTCTATGGGAAACTACGCAAAGAACCTGATCACATTCTACTAGCACCTGAGTTAGTGGTTCCATCACACTGCAGAAATTCCTCTTCGGCTTCACTTGTATATCTGTAAACAAGGCGAGTATTTAAAGAGACAAATTTCTGGTCTCTTCACATCCAAAGGACATCAAGCCAACCAAGTGTCCCAGATCTTCCCACTGACTGAGGAGTGGGAAGTGGAATACAAATGCTCTTATCTTTCTTCTTATATCAGTCGCGCTGCTAAAGGAACACCAGCTGCCCAGTGTACTTGCTGAGCTTAAAGATGCTGTTGATTTGTTTAGCTTTTCAGCTTAAAGGTGAGGCTTATTATTCGTTTGCTTTGTCTGAGACTTGCTAATAACAATGAAGAGGCTTGTGGCAGATGCGCCAAAGATGAATCTTTCTTCCCCACATTGCCAACGTTTATTGGAGAGCAATAGCTTTTTCTGAAAGGGGCGCAGTCCATCTTGGCTTGGACACCTGCAAAGGGGAATCTTCCCATAATGGTAGACGTTCCAAAGCATGGGCTATTTGGGATACTGAAAACACGTTCTACTAGAGGACTTGCTGGTGAGCTTCTTGCAGTGGCTGGCATTTCCTCGGCGGGACAAAAGGAGAGGAGGTCACCGTCCTTATCTACTGGCTGATCCAAAGTGTGGACCTCCGGCAAAATGGGAAGCCTCCTCTCCACCTGCCATATTGTGTTGACCCAGCTTGCTCCCACGGTGATGCCACAGAGCCACGAGATAATCGTCCAAGGCCAGGAGCCCTTTGGTTTCCACCAAAGGTGGAATAGGCTCAGGAAAACGGAGGAAGGGACAGACAGCTCACCAGGTGTGGAAGCTGGTAATGGCCTCTCCAGCAGGCTTCAGCCCAAATGTGATTACACAACATCCTCAGAGTGACTGGCTATCTTTACGACACTCAAGGGAAGAGAAGGCTAAATGTTTCTTCCCCGTAGCAGGATCCTGATGAGTCCACCTCCTCCTCGGTAACATCAGTTTCAAAATGTAAGCGTTGCAGCCATCCTCTCGCTTCCCTTGCAGAGATGGACACCACACTGTGCTCTACAAGATAAGCAAGAGGACAAAGGCAAAATTCCATTCCAGAGATGCTTTCAGGTAGGAGAGGAATCTGACAGATTTTCTTGACTTGGCTCCTGGGTTGCATTCCGGCTGACACAACTGCAAATATTACTGAAGAGGCCTGCCTGAGCCCCAGCACTTCCTTTCCTTTTGGCAACAGAAATATTGTCCTGGGATGGGGGAAGGCTGGTCAGGCGGCAGGTTAATGGAGCCAGATGGAATGCTAAAAATTGGTCAGATTGCTGGCAAGGTCAGTAGAAAGCTTTGGAAGAATTGGGTGGCATGTGCTCTTTGATGCTAGAGGGTTGCAGGGTGTTAGCTCCGCAGACATCAGCCTTTAAATGTGTAAATATATTCTCCATTTTTACAAAATGGGCTGCCTCCAGGGATGACTATGTTTGGAACCACTCCCATAAATGCTTCTAATCCCCTTTTAAACCGAGCTGACTGTGTCTTCTGGCAGCAGACTGCATAACTTAACCATGCTTGTGTAAAGAAATACTTTCTGTTTCTGCTGAATTTCCTATAATATAACTTCATTGGATGATCCTGGATTCTAGTATTTTGAAACAGGGCGAAATCTGCCCTTTCTCTCTCTGTATGCACAGAATTTAGCCATGACTGATCTACGTCTCATTGGATTATCAGTGGCATTCCTATTAGTCTGAGCAGATCCGGTTCCAATTCTATATTAATAACTTATCTTTGCAGAATAGTTAAGTTCTTTTCATCAACCTTTCTTTGTCTTGTTTCATTGCTCTACCTTCCAATAACCAAAGTTTTCTGCAGTTCCCAAACATTACTGATAAATATATTTTGATGGAAATCAATCTAAGGTATTATTCCAACTTTCACTTTATAATTTTTACTTATCCTCCATATTACTGTGCTTTGTTTGGAAAGACCCACCTACTCCTAAGGAGCAGGGGGCCTTCTGAAGACACCATGAGAGTCTTTTTGTTGTTGTTAGTCACGAAGTCGTGTCCAACCCATCGCGACCGCATGGACAACATTCCTCCAGGCCTTCCTGTCCTCCACCATCCCCAGAGTCTACCTAAGCTCTCGCCAACTGCTTTAGTGACTCCATCTAGCCACCTCATTCTCTGCCGTCCCCTTCTTCTTTTGCCCTCAATTGTTCCCAGCATCAGGATCTTCTCCAGGGAGTCCTTCCTTCTCATTTGGTGGCCAGAGTATTTGAGTTTCATCTTCACTATCTGGCCTTCTAAAGAGCAGTCAGTCAGGTTCAAATATCAGTAAGATATTTAAGAGTGGTGTTTCCATCTTTTTGGTAAGGCAAACTGCACAGCAGCCAGGAAGCCATCCAAAGTTCAGATGGGGTGGAACCAGAAAAAGAGTGTGGTATTCTAGGCAAGAGTGTCATAATTTTGGGCCATCACTTCAGTCATGGCAACCAGCTGAGAGTGAGCTTTAATGCTGGGACAGAGTGTTCAGATCCGAACGTTGGAGGGTCCAGTCCTGGACTGTGGCAGAGCTTGCATTTTCCGCACTCCCGGGACGGAGCACTGCAATGCAGACTTGACTTGTGGAAGGGAGGGTTCTATCCGGGCGACGCATGGACTGAGCTGTGGAGCTGAATGGTGAGGACAGTCCTCCTTTTGAGGGACCGTCAAAGAGCAGTGCGCTGTGTGGGCATGCGCTGTCTCTGAATAGCTGTCCAGACTGAGTCTAGTTGAAAGACGAACAACCATAAAAATAAACAACAATGGAAGTTTTCTTTTATCAGCACTTGGCAACAGGCACCCGTTCTCCTGAATGCAGTCTTTCCCACTGAGGTAAGATATTTTGGATATTAGTTCAAGATTTCACTATTACTACAATAGTTCCATTCAAATCTGCTTACCATGTTTCTATATCACTCTCTAGCCAACGCTCTCTAGCTGGTTTACAAGACAAAGCTTAAAAGCACAAAATACAATACAAAAATACCTCTGGAGGAAGCTTGGTTGGTGGCAATGAAAAAGGACTTTTCAGTGGTCTGGAAAGAACTCCCCACGGAGACCAGCCTGGCGTCAACCTTTCTATCTTTTCGGTGGCAAGTTAAGAATGTCCTCTACCTCAAGGCATTTAACTGGTTTACTGGGTCTTTCTGCTTCTTAAAACAGGTCCCAAGATTTACTTTAAGTTAACCAAGCTTTATGTGCATTTTAAATTTAGTGTCAAATTTTGTATAGCAATCTTTTAAAGATGTTTTATAATGTGGTATATTTTATACTGCCTTTTAATGTGTTATTGTAAACTGCCCCAAGAGCTTCAGCTATTGATTAGCAGAGAAGATAAATACATAAATAAATAAATTAAAAAAATAGTAAAACATAATACAAAGTGGAATGAAATCAAAGTAGTAACCGAAGTAAAAGATAGCAGCAATACCAAGATCTAAACTCACACAAACACTATTTTTAAAACCGAAGGGCTAAAGGGGCTGAGAAATCCAAAGGCGGTGAAGGGACCCCGCTCCCCTTGCTGAGGTTCTCTGGAGGTTTCCATTCCATAATCCAGTTCCACCACCAAAAGGACCTGCTTTGATTTCAGTGCTGCTGTGCCACCTCGGACTAATTCTGGATCCAGCACTTTGTATATGTGGAAGTATACTAATTCTTTTAAAGCGTGCGTGTATACACATAAATTAGCAAGTGGCATGCAAACTGTGTCCTCGCTTGCCTTCCTTTTTGGTGACAAATTTCCTCTTGTTTAGCACTCCATACATAGTTAAAAAGGTAAAGGTAAAGGTTTCCCCTGGACGTTACGTCCAGTCATGCCTGACTCTCGGGGGCGGTGCTCATCTCCATTTCCTGGCCGAGGGGGCCAGTGCTTGTCCGCAGACAGTCTCCGTGGTCGTGTGGCCGGCATGACTAAACACCGAAGTGCACGGAACGCTGTTACCTGCCCACCGAAGTGGCACCTTTTCATCTACTTGCATTTGCAGGCTTTCGAACTGCAAGGTAGGCAGGAGCTGGGTCGGAGCAACAGGAACTCACCCCATGTGCAGATTCAAACCGGCGACCTTTCGATCCATCAGCCCAGCAGCACAGCGGTTTAAACCACTGCGCCACCTGCAGTCCCCCATACATAGTTACCCCACCACTAAGTGTCCGCTTCCTCTGTGCAGACTTCTAGGAATACGTGTGTTTTGGCTGTGGAGTGATCTACCAATGAATTAAATCAATAATAGGAGGACATCCTTCCAAACCAAAGGACATGACTTCTAGGAGATCAAGGCTCTGGCTTCATCAGTTTTCAGAAATTAAGCTTGCTGTTCCAAGAAGTGATTAATCAGAATTGGAACTGTGAATCCCAGTGAGGGATCTCTTGCATGCACTGAGGGGAGAAGCATCGCTCCCACCTGCTTTCCCACACCCATCTGCCTTAGAATGCAACAGCTCGGGATTATCCAGTGAATTTGGCAGACTTGTCAGGATAGATTGAAAGGTGCACACCCTGAAATTTTGCTCAAGTCATCCTATGGGGTGTTGGTGCCTCCAGAATAACCCCAGAAAGCACTCTAGAACTGATGCAGCACTCCTCAGGTGGTGCCAAGGACCAGATATGTAGGCTTCAGAGCCAGAAGCAGGTAGTTAGTTCACCAGGGAGTGGGGAAGGAAGGATGAGCAGCTTCCATGATCAAAAGCATATGATTCTGGGCAAATTTAGAGGGGAGAAAACCCCACTGAATGTGGTGGGGTTTATCTTTGAGCAAACATGGGCTCAATATGCAAGTTCTTCATTTCCCTAAGTGGCACAACCATTTAGAAAGAAATATTTTGTGGCTTTCTAAATGGTCCAAGTTTCCACATCCTTACTTTTAACGGAACTTTGTGGTTTGGGTTCTTTCCGAATATGCTATTCTTTATCAGATTTCTTGAAAATAGTGCATAAAATCATCATGAGAGGCATAGGAAAGCTATACCCTAGATAGCTCTAATGCATATAGCCAGGCTGTGGAAGGCAGGAAGCTGCCTTAAGCTAAGCCAGACAATTGGTTCATCTTACTAAGAAGGAAAGGCAGAAGGTAGATCTGAACCTCCAAGGGTTTTTGATTCCCAAGAACTTTGAATGAGAGCAAAATCATAAGGAACCTCTGGTGTGGTTGGCCTTGTGCTAATTGCTTTTCCCCGTGTTCCTCACCTGTCAAATGCTTGTGGGCAGCTTTTTACCAGGTATTTGTTCAGCTCTGCCCAATGGCTTTAGACTCTTGTGCAGGTAACCGGGGTACACAGTTGGACATATACAAGTTCATGCATCACGGGTTGCAGTAGACCTTGGCTGGAGAACATCAGGCCTAGGACTCCAGTCCAGCTTGCCTGGGGTCCCCCTCCTGACCCCCCTGGAGTGCCCACCCCTCTTTGCCTGGCCGCACCATTTCCCCCATCACGACCAATTGTGGTGGCCATTTCACAGCTGCTGTGCCACTTCCCCCTGTTCTAAAAGGTTGAGGCATCTCTCTCGAGGCTCAGGTACTGAGAATGAACGCCGTAGACCAAACTGTGTTGCTACCTGGGGGATCTGGGCCCTGTCCCTTTGCCTCCGACCCACCGCTGCGCTTTCAGCCCCACCTGAAATGGCATTGGCTCCTTGAACGGAACAAGGCAGAACATCTCCTAGGAAGCCATTGCCTCTCCCACCCTTTTCTTTCTAGCCCTGGTTGGCTGGTAGAACTCAGTGTTGCAGAAAGAGGAAAATAGGTCCTGCAAGCCTGGCCTGCCCCCTGCTTCACTCCAGGTCTAGGCAGGACTGTCCCAGTCTGCTGGAGGCAGGGGACCAGCCCTGCACCCTGCAGCACATGCCCCGTGTGTCCCGGCCCGGAGCTGGCTGTGACCCCCCTGCGTGTCCACAGTTTTGGCCCATCCAAGCGCCACTTTCCAGATGCACAGGGCATGCCTTCTTTTATGCAGGGACAGCTCAGTTTCTGAGGTCCCTTCGCAGTGGGTCCCCCTCCCCTGTGAGCCTCCCTTCTCCCTGCTGTGGCCCCAGCTGCCCTGGCTCCCCTCCTCTTCCTCGCCGTGGCCCCCATTGTCTTGCTTGGCTGGCAGGGAGCCACAGAGCAAGCAGCCAGCCCCCCCCCCCGGCCTCCTTCCCACACACCCATCATTGCCTGGGCCAGGGCGAGGGGTGGGCAGGCAACCTCCTTGCAAGGGGGCAGTGCAGCAGAGAGGCCAGCGGGGCCTTGTTGGCAGCCCCTGCTGGGCTGCAGGCACCTGGCAGGTGCGCTTCCCTGTGCCAGCCCTGTCTGCCTCTCACCTGAGTGGGACACACAGCAAACAGGTGCCCTGGTCCCAAGCCTGTTCACTCAGAAGGGAGTCGTGCTCAAAGTTTCAGAGTGCAGCCACAGACTAATACAGGACCCCCAAAACCGGTGCAGTCCTCATGACCTCTAGGCTGCTTTCCCCACCCCAGCTCCCATCATCCAGTGCCCAAGGCAAAACCATGCACTGGCTTTCCTGTAGGACTATATTCTCAGACTGGCCAGTCAGGAACGGAGAAGGCTGCCATCCTCAATAAAGGAAAGCAATTGGGTCTTTCGTCAGCACTGGAGAGGCTGCTCTGAGCAGGACTGCCCCCTTCTGGCAGACTTACACTCTACCAGGTGGATGGAAATAGTAAGTAGGCAGCTCGCTGAATGCAGGAGAGACGCTCCAGCATCTGCCTGGAACCCTCTTGCAAACCAGGCACTTGGCTGTCCAGCTCAGAACAGCGGCCCTGAAAACAGCCCATTCCCCTTCAAAATCAAAATAACTATCGCTGATCGAACTGAAATTTCAACCAGAAGGGGAGACTTCAATGTATTTTAGACAGAAGAGATATTTGGGAATATTTGAGAGTACATCATTGGCACCCTCACAAAATGGCAACCATGCTTGTGGGTCTTAATCATTCATGATATGGCTGCCATGCAGCTCTACCTACTAATCGTTGGCCTACAAAGTGCTCCCTTTCATAGTCAACAGCTGGAAGAGCTGAATAATCGAAAGGCGCTCTTTCTAAATCAAATTCCATTTTTTTCTCCTCCCAATTTGTGCAATGCAGGATCTGAGGTTGGATTCCATGGATTCCAAAAACAACAGCTCATCATGCACCATTGAGGAGTTCCGAAGTCAAGTGTATCCCATCACGTACTCCATCACCTGTGTCCTGGGGCTTGTAGGGAACGGCTTTGTGCTGCTCGTCCTTATAAAGACATACCAGCAGAAGACAGCACTGCAATTATACATGCTCAACCTGGCTCTTTCGGACTTGCTCTTCGTGTGCACACTGCCTCTGCGGGTGGTGTACTACTTATACAAAGGGAACTGGTTTTTTGGGGACTTCCTGTGCCGGGTCAGCTCCTACACCCTGTATGTCAACCTGTATTGTAGCATCTTCTTCATGACGGCCATGAGCTTCTTCCGTTGCGTTGCCATTGTCTTCCCCATCCAGAGCATCCATTTTATAACAGATAAAAAAGCCAGACTGGTCTGCATTAGCATCTGGGTCTTTGTGATGCTCACTAGCTCACCATTTTTGATAAATGGCTCCACAGTTGATAACCAGACGCACAAGACCAAATGCTTCGAGCCTCCCGAGGAAAATGAATTACAAAAGCTGTCAGTCCTCCATTATATTGCATTAATTGTTGGCTTTATTTTGCCCTTTGTTATCATTGCTGTCTGCTACACCATGATCATATGGACCTTGTTGAAAAATTCATGGCAGAATAGAGACAACTCCCATAAAAAAGCCATCTGGATGATTCTCATTGTGACCATGGTGTTCCTGATAAGTTTCACTCCGTATCACATCCAACGCACTATCCACCTCTATACTCTCAAAAATAATAAATCCTGTGAGGAGCGCCTCTACATGCAGAAATCAGTCGTGATAACCCTCTCCCTTGCAGCTTTCAACTGCTGTTTCGACCCGCTTCTCTATTTCTTTGCTGGAAACAACTTTCGTAAAAGAGTTTCGACTTTACGAAAAGCTTCTGCCCCCATCTCACCGCTGCAGCAGAGGAATGTATCCTTAAAGCCCACAGAGACTGTACTGGCTGAAACGAAGGTAGTCAAGGAGAGGAAATAAAAGCTGTTCTCCTTGGCGGAAGCCGCCACCTTGTTGGTGGGACAGGCAGAAAGAAGAATATGCACTTTGTGCCTCTGTGGTTTAAGAAGGCCGCAGTGCGAAGCAACCCGGGACAGCCGCTGCCATGACTCTTGGCTTCGCGTCTGTCTTGCCACCAGGGTCATGTGGGCCAAAGATGCAGAGCGAGCAGCTCTGGGAGAAAGCTACATGCATTGGCGGACTGTTCTATGGAGGGAAGATGTAAAGTGTGTGAGCCAGTGATGCACTGATGCACACAGTTCTCAGATATATTCTTGTTTTAGAAAAATCCTAGAATAGCCGTTCACTATCATGCTTCTTCAGGTATACAAGAGACTGCAGCCCTGTTTAGGCATTAGACATGAGTGGGGAAAGCTGTACCCATGCAGGTCGTGGGCCTCACCCCACCGTCCCCATTTCCACCCCATTTACCCTCACCTTCCTACACTGGAGTCTCCAATTCAATTGGAATTCACCTGGACGTGGTAGAAGCTTCCAGTGCTCCCAGGGCTGCTGGGAACTTGTGTTCAGGCCAGTATGTGTCAAAGCCCCCTTTAGGCCTTCCTGTTTGTTCTCATTAGGGCAGGGAGTCAGAGGGGAGGGCTCCATGCCCCGGATACCTGTTCACTCTCCTTGGTTCAGGGATAATTTCTGGATGGAGCAACGGTGGAACCCTGGAAGATGCACAGAAGAGGAGCACATAGCCAGTACCACTGATACAAGAAGACATAACCAAGGGAATCCCCCACTATCCAGCCTTGCCGTAGCGATGCTAAACATGTAACTCAGGGGTGTGTCGTCTGTCTTTTGTGGGGTGGATAGCAGAGAACTACCTCTGAAGCCAGATGAGTCTTGGCATTCACAGGACAAGTGTGATGTTTTCCTCAAGGCACAGGAGTGAAAAGGGCATCAGTTTAGGCATGAAAAGGATGGGATAGGGACCTGGGTGTGCATGCTTAAGGCTCCAGACAAGCTCCCACTGGGAGCAGGGGATGGGTGAAATTTTCTCCCCATACCTAAGGCCTGCCTCTGCTGCTACTGGGACAAGCATTGGACCAATCCCAAATGGAAGCACTTCCTAAACTATTGTAGCAGGCCTAGCTCTTGGTGTTTCCTTCATGCTGCATCAGCCCCAGTGGGCATGGCCGGTTCTTCAGATTTATGGAAGCTGTTGCCCCCCATGTGGAGGGCCACAGCTTTCTGAACCCTGCTCTGGAGATGGGGTTTCCCACACACACGCATACACACCTGCCATAAAGGGGCCGGCATTTCCATTCGGGATGCAGCAGGGCAGTGAAGAAAGCATGCGGAGGCTGCAGCATGCATTGGCCGTGCTCACAGCCTCAAGCTCTCCTCTGGACTCGTAAAAGCCCTGGGGTGCCTCCGGTTCACAGAACAAATTTGGGCCACGGGACCTTGGGCAGGGACCGGCCCCTCCCCAAGCCCCACCCCCTGAAATGGGGAGCTCAGGGAGACAGGACATGCCCAGCGCCTTGGCATCATCGAACCCACAGAGGGCTGGGGAAGCCACTCAGTCCCAGCCCGTTATAGCTCAGCACCTCCTGAGGTAGCTTCAATGCACATTCAGGGAACTTTGAACCCTCATCCATCATTCAGGTACATCCTAAATGCTCACCGGCCTTTGTCAAATCATCCCAGATTTGTCTGGGCTTTTCTCTCATTACAGTTTAATTTGCAAAAGCGCCCACTCCTAAATACTCAGGGAGTCTCTTCAGCATGTGCAAATTAGAACCCCTGCGTCGATCTTTTAGCGAGCCCTCCTGTAGGATGGATTGGCAATCATCTGCCTGTGTTCACTGTTAGAGGGATTAAGTTCTTCGCTAAGGAATGCATGGGCCCACCTTACCCTGAGCCCAGCCTTTAGTCCATGAGTGAGCCAGGTGTTGTCCTCCAGGTCCTGCACCATTACCTGTGCCATTTAGGACTGATGGGAGTTGAAAGCCCAAACATCTGGAAAGCCACAAGAGCTCATGCCTGAACTAGCCCTCTGCTGCCATTTCCACCCATGTTTCTCCAAGTCTGGAAACTTCAATTGGCCCAAAGGAGGGTGACCAGATTGTTAATGAGGACTGGCAGATATGACCATGTAAAGCCAGTCCTCTGCCATCTTCACTGGCTCCCAGTTGAGGTCCAGGCCCAATTCAAGGTGTTAATGCTTGTGCTCAAAGCCCTAAGTGGCTTGCGGCCAGGGTATCTAAAGGAGAGCCTCTTCCCATCTGAACCCATCTCCCATGGGTCATCATTGGAGATCCTTTTGAAGGTGCCCCCTCCTGAGGAAATAAGGAGGGTGGCCATAAGAAGGGCCTTATTGGAGTGGCACCCCAACTTTGGAATCAGCTCCCCAGACAGGTTTGCCTGGTGCCTTCTTTGTATTCCTTTTGGCACCAGGCAAAGGTCTTTTTATTTTCCCAGTATTTTGATGGTTAGAATGAATTCAATGGTTTTAAATTTTATTCCTGATTATTGATTGTGGTTATGCCTTGTATGTTGATGTGGTTTCTGTAAAGAGTGCTGCCAGCATGGTTTTTATGTGTTTGGCTGTTAGATGTTAATATTGCTATATCAGTGTTTTATTATATATTGTTATATTATTTGAAATAAATTTCTATTTGTAACCCACCCAGGGAGCTTCATGGCTAACGGGATGGAATAAGAATCTAATGGATGGATGGATGGATGGATGGATGGATGGATGGATGGATGGATGGATGGATATCCTGGGACAAGGGTTGCTATGCAAGGTCCCTCAAACAGGAGATGTTGTATGAACGGAAGCTGCAACCCCCCTGCATGTGAACATATGAACTGAGTACAAATCCTCCCTTAAGGCGAGAGAAACAGCGAGACGATAACACCTTGAAAGCCCTGAGGGGACAGGTGCTAACTCTTGACAGGTCACAGGTTCCTTTTATGTTCCCCCCGTTCTATGTTCCCCGCATTGTCATTGTCAGGTTCCAAGCACCATATTCAGAAAGGTCCCAGACTCTGCAGGGCTGTCGCACGACTACACATTCCATGGTCAAAAGTCACCTCGTTGCCCCAAGATGCCATGCATGCAAATCTGCAAAGTCTGGCAGGTGGTCAACCTGTGAAGCCAGACCTTCCACAATGCCCTGTTGCTGGCAGCCTGCACAACTCTTGCAAACTCCCTTAGAGCTGATCTTCTTCTCCTTCTGCCTTTTAGTTTTCCCAGCATGGTGGACTTCCCCAGTGGACCTTGCCTTCTCATGATGTGCCTGAAGTACAATGGCTTCAAGTTGCATCATTTTTGCCTCCTGACGTAGCCACCAGGCCACCAAAAATGTTGACATTAAATCAGATTTCTGAAGAATTGAATTTCAGGATCACCCTTTCCTCCCTAGTTCCTGTCAACAGCTGTGAAGGATGAAGGGAGAGCAGAGGGGAAGGCAGAGATTGGGAGTTTTTCTACACAAGTCTTCCAAGCCACTGGATCTAATTTTAGTTTCACAGATCTGAGATCCAAGCAATGCAAGAACATTTCCTTTCTGTATTTCTGTCCCACGATCGCCAGAAAGCACTCGATGACGCAAGCAAAATGCCTTTTATTTCCATAAATAATACTGCACTTTCTCTGCCCTCAAAGAAAGACTAAGGAGACCGCTTAAAAACAGAAGCAAATCAAAGAACCCCAAATGAGTTGGAAACAAGTGCACAAAAATGTGTTTCTTGGGTAGAAAAGCTCCGGCAGCAGGGAGAGCAGTTGCTAGAAATATGAGCTAACAGACTAGTTCCTTCTTACCCAGACCCCAGTCTTGTCTGCCACACAAATCCAAACCCTGATGCAAGGCCAGCCCTAGCGCTTTTGCTGCCTGGGATGAAGGACAAGACAACTCACCATCTGGGGCTGGCCCCAACATTAGGAAATGAGGCAATTCTTTTAAGCTTCCTTTGGGAAGCAAGGTACTACGTGTGCATGGCCTGGCCTGGCCTGCCCCTCCTGCGGTGCAGGCTGAAGCTGTTCATTCACTCTCAGGTCTGGGCTGTACCACGGAGCCATACGAGCTCCGCAACAATGAGGGTGCCTCGAAGCGATCATGTCCACTGGGCAGGCCATTTCTGCATTCCATGGTGACCAGGGCTTCGACAGAAGTGCCAGCCATGTCAGCGGGAAGGTGCCCCAAGGCCCTCTGGAAACCATCCAGGTCCAGATGGCCTCTGGGGATGGACCATCTCAATGGACCTCCACCCTTGTGGAGGGGAAAAGCCGCCATCATTGTAAATCTCAGCAGGCGGTGATTTGTGCATCACAAAGGAACTGAGTCGAAGCTCCCGCACCCAGAATACCATCTTCATATCCGTCTGAGAAGACCAAGTCCAGAGTACAACCTGACTCATCCATTGAGGCCAACATGTTGGGACTGCTCCATGGTTGTCCTGGGGGCCATGAAATCCTGAGCAGCTTCAGTTAGGGTGCCCTGTGTGAATGTTGAAGTCCCTCAGGACCACCAGCCTGGGGGACCCCAACAACACACCTGAGACCACTTCCACCAGCTCAGGTAGGGAGACTGATGGGATGTGGGGTGGGCGATGCACCAGAGGAATCCCCGATCTGTCCTGCTGGCCCAACACAAGGTGCAAACACTCTAGACGAGTCGTGGGATGGATAGGGCACCTGGGGAGAGAAATTGGATTCCCATAGACCACATCAACCCCCTCTCCCTGGCCTTCAGGCCTACCCTGATATTGAACCAAGTACTCCGGTGAGCACAACTCCTCCCTGTTTTCCCACCCAGGTCTTAGTTATACATGTCAGATCACACAAAATTGTGGATGAGGAAGGTTTTATTCTGCACCTCTCCGGCATTCCAAAGTGGCATCTGGAGATTTGAGGGCTTTACCGGGAGGGTGCTAATGCATTACCAGGATCCTTTTAAAACTTTCAAGTGCCTGAAGAATGGGAAAGCAGCAGAATCTGACATAAATCTGCGGGAACTGTTAACACATGAGAGCAGGCCGTGCAAACATTCCTTAGGTGCTCAGAAATTTACACCGGAGCAGCAGTAGAAAATGCAGCTTGCTGGTGACTAATGTAAATAGTCTTTGAATCTCCCAACAAAGCCTTTGGGCAAACTTTTGAGACATTATTAATGGCCGTGCCAGTGGGAAATGCAAACACTCATCCTGCTGGGAACCAGCAGAGCTTCTCCAACATGAGGGAAAGAGGCAGCTCTGTGTCCTGAATCCACAAAGAGGAGACTCTATTTCACAGTTTCAGGGGAGACAGTAAAATGCCTTCCTTAAGACCTGCACCATGAAGATGCTGTTATGATTGGCCTACAGGAGCTGGCACAGCCTGACTGTGCTGACTTCATCTTGCCTAGGTCCAAGAAATGGAAACCTCCTTTCTGCAAAGCAACCACAGATCTCTGCCTACGCAAAAGGCTGGGACACGCAATGTTGGTTTTGTAATCCAGATAACTGGGTGATCAAGCATTGACACTTAGCCAACCTATCCAGGAGTAAACTGGCCAGCAAGAATCTTTCAGCATCCATCTCAGAACTGGGGATGGACCATGAGAGCTGGTGAGCTGGGGATGAGCCATTAGACAAAAGACCCCTCCAAAATTTGCACCCAGGAAGTGGGGAAGGGGCCAGAGGAGATATACTCCACCAAGCAAGGGAGGGGGTATTTCTCTTTTGATTTGAGCATCACAAGCAAGTCTCCCAGGAAGCAAGAGAGTCTGAGGGAGGCCCAAGAGAGATGGCTCAAAGTTCCTCCAGTACAGGTGTCTAGAATCATAGAAACATAGAATTTCTGTGGGGCCAAGAAGCGGCCAAGAAGGCCATCGGGTCCAAGCTCAAGTTAAACCACCAACTCTGATGCCTGTCCAGGTGCATCTTGGATGCCTCTAGTGTGGAAGAGCCCATTGCTTCCCAGGCTCAGAACTAATGCAAAAACCTGCCTGACCCTTCCCGGAAGCTGAGGGTCTTTCCAGCATTCCTCATGCCTTGCTACTCCAGGCACAAACACCAGCAATGACTGGGTCTACCAGGACAGGGCATCCCATGCATGTAGGCAAGGGAAGGAGGCAAGTCGCAGAGCAAGGCTGAAGGAAGACTGATTGCATTGGAGGGGCTTACTGGTTTGTCAAGGTCAGATCTGGTAAAGTCGCATCTTTTCGGGTGAAGGCAGGAAAGACAGGGCTAAGCGGAGCCCCAATGGCCAGGGCAGGGTGCCAGGACCCTGGACAGTGCACAGCAGGAGATGAGCGTTCGTCCACCAAGAGAGCGGTTGTCTCAGTGAGGACTGGGCCCCAATTTTCCATTATTTCATTTTCAACCATTCATGGGGTAGGAACGGATAATCCAGCAAAAGAGCCTGGGGGTGATGCTGCTTCTGGGAAGGGCTGCAGGGACTCCATTTCCCTTTCAGGTGCAGGGCGTGGCTGCATGGCTGCAAGGTCCCTACAGTGGGAGACTCATGACGTTGCAGTAACACAAAGGGCATTTTAGAGCAAATGCCCTAAAATGGCCCCCCTCCCCAAAGGAGACCCCTTCAGCCACTCCCACTGCTTCAGAGGTAAGTGGAACCCCTTCCTTTTCCCCAGTAAGAGCATTCTTTGACATTCTTCTCCTCCCAAGACTCTTTCACTGGACTAAGACACACAGTTACCAGCAAAGGGGCAGAGGGTGAGGTTTGAACCTGACAAAAGACAGAGCCCTCAAAATGGCTGCCCACAGCCGTGTTTGCACACAGAACCAAAGCCATTTTGGAGATTCCTGTTTACATCCCGAGATCCTGCACTGCACTGCTGTCCAAACTCTGCTTCGCTGCTCAGTTCGTACGTGCTTCTTCTCTGAGTTTGCTGTTGTGGTTAGTTCTGCATGGATGGGAAAAGAGGGCCAATGGAACAGCAACCAAACTGTGAAATTTAAACAGGTTTAGAAATGTGGACAGCGCCACACTGGGAAAACTGTGCCGGGGGGGGGGGGGACACACCAGTCGAACTATTTGCAAGCATTTTCTCCCATCGTTTGCAGCTTCCTACATGCATGCTCGCATTTTTTGTGAGCAAAATAAAGGGCATCCCTGCAATACAGACGTGGGCCAGCAGAGGGTGCTGTGCGGTGCTGTGCTGTGCTTACGGTCCCCTCCAGCTGGAGACTGGGCGGCTTTAACAGCACGAAGGCAGGCGTGGAGTCGGTTGCCATCGCCGGAGGACTCCGTAGCTGTTGCCTGCTGGGTTTCGTGCAATCCTCGCTTAGTATCCTAGCCTGGAGACGAGAGGACTCTGGGAAATGAACCCGAAGCCTGGATACGCTTCTGGGAAAAGCCAGCTGGTTTGACAAGCTGGCCAGTGCTCCGTTGTGACGCTAGATGGCGCTGCATCGCAAGTACAACCGCTCGTAATTTACTACGTGGCATTCTCGCCTTGAATAGCCGCTCTGTTGCTGCTGCTGCGTATCTGGAGAGACTCCGTTGGCAGAGAGGAGGTATTTCTAACCCATTGCCATGCCGGATCACGTCCCGCCTTTCCAAGCAAGGAGTTACATTAACTGGGCAGTTAGCAGTCTCTCTTGGGGCGGAGGTACAGAAAGCATACAAAGTTGTTGCTTTCCAGTGCCTGGATACAGCTCCATCTGCAAGCCTTCCCTGT